TTGTTAGCAGATGTTGCCACGACGAAGGTTTCTTTGTTAAGCCTAAAATTCGACGCTGGGCTGACAAATTGTTAGGAAGTTAACCTTGACTGCGATCAAAGTCTGAATTGCGTGTTATGCGCGCTTATTTACCGCGAATTTGGTTATTCTAATTTGCTAGCATATAAGTGCATTTGAAAATATTAATTTGCTCGAGTGGCCTTTGATATAGTTCGGATAGGTCTTCGGTGTTAGAGGTGTGTTACGCTTTAGTTTAGTGTTAGTGGCGTCTGGAAGTATAGTTAATAGACTGTCCTAGTGAAGAAGGAAGAAAGTGACGGTGGGTGACGCCGCGGGGGATTACCACAATTTGGAGCGGCGCCGAAGTCCGGGCTGCTGCCGACTTCGAAGGTCCCGGCAGGTCTATCACCACTAACACCACAAACCACCACTATACTCAACACATACATACCTACCGCCTGACCGGTCCCTGAGACAGCAGTCGCCTCACATACAGGTAAGTAATATCTATTTGATTAGCCTTCCCTTTTATTGTAGTAGGATATAACATTTTCCATATAGTTTATTGTATAGAATAATTCTCCATAGGCATTTTGAGCCCCACCCTTAGTTGTCCGTCGAATCTACAGCTGTATGGACCCCTGTATGGTCGACCTTTGTTGAGGCAACTAGGGGCGTGTACATTAGTGGTAGCAGAGCATGGTTCCGGGTTCGATTCCCGGTCGAGCCCGACCGTAGTACTTCATAAAAATTAAACAATTTTGGTGGCAGGGAGCGTTTGTTTGATTGGTTTAATTTTGTGTATTCAATCAGGCCCGGCCGTAATACGTAAAATTAAAATTCTTTTCTTTTGTTGCTTTGTTGCTAGGTCTTAGTTTTTTTGTTGTTAGCGGGTAGTATGCGGACGCCACGCCCGTAGGCTGAGCAAGCGGGAGTTTTGTTAAGGCTAAGTACTTACCGTAGTTTGTTAAGCCGAGGTACCTTGACTAGTTATATGCGGTTGTCACGTAATCGGATTATTTGTTGATCGTACTAGGGTTTGTTACTTGTTAATTTGATTTGTGTTTTTTTTTGGGCTAACTTGTATTTAATTTAATAAATAGTAATCGTATTTGTGTAATTTCTATTTAACTTGATTTGATAGGAACTGTATTTGTTATTTGTTAATTTGATTTATATTTGAGCCGAGTATTAATTGTATTTAGTAGTGATGCCATCGCACAAGCTACTGATTCGTCGCCTGCGGACTGAGCTGCGCTGGGCTACCAGCGCGCATGCTTTGATAGGTCGACCGGATAGGGTCTATAACTTGAGGAAGCGGTTCGAGCAGGTCGATGCTCGAAAGGCCGCAGTGGAGGAGGCTTACGCTGAGCTCGAGGATTCGGATGTGGATAAGGGAATCCTGGACTCTTGCTTCGCGGACTACGAGCAGTTCTTTTCGCTCACGGACGAGCTGCTCGAGGCTGAAGGCAGGTATGCTGAGGAGGCGCGTGAAAATCGGATGAGTGGCCTGCCCGGGTACTCTCGGAAGCAGCCTCAGCCGGAGCTGTTAGGACGACTCCCAACTCTGGACCTGCCAAGGTTCTCCGGGGTCCTTTCTGAATGGCTGACCTTCGTTGGTCTTTTCGACAGCCTAGTGGACGCCCGGAGGGACCTGACCCCGAGCCAGAAGATGGCGTACCTCCTGGCCTCACTGGAGGGGGAGGCCCTGGGCGTTGTCGGTCACTTGAGATTGTCTGACGACGCCCACCTGACTGCTCGAGACCTCCTAGCCAGAAGATACGCCAACGTTCGGTGAATTGCGGACGAACATGTTAAGCAGCTTCTAAGCCTCCCGCTGTTTGGGGAACGAGCCAGACTACGTCCGGACCTGGTGAATCCAGTCTTGGTGGCCTGTAATGCGTTGAGGCGGCTGGATTTACCAGTGGCCGAATGGTTATTTTTGTTGCTCCACATCGTGCTGTCCCGTCTACCTCTCGACCTTCGAATACATTTTGAGGAGAGGTACGGCGGGGACGGGGCCTCTTATATTCCGCCCTTCAATGACCTGCTGCGGTTTTTGGAGGAACAGTGCCGGCAGATTGAGAACGCGGTGGGCACCGTTGACGACTTACGAGCCGTGCCCAATATGTAAAAAAGAAATTCCGGGGAAACTATTCATGGCAGTAAGTATTTTTCTCCAAAGATCATTACTCGAAAATACAACTTTCCGATCTGATTCGTGGGGAGTTTTTTTTTAAAGATTATCGGTAGAGTCACCTGGAACTTTTTATATTTGAATTAAAATCCAACAAAAAGCAGGTTGGTTCTACTTATTCCCAGGAACATGTTATATGAATATTTTTTAATTATTTTAGAACTATCATGGTATAAATTCAGTGAATTTTTGAAGTTGTTCAATCTCGTGCACTAAACTATTTTTTTAAATCTTTTTAGCGCTTCCTTAACAATCATTTTTCGATAGTCCTTGTAAGTAAAATTTACATCACTAGTTAACGCACACAATAACAAATCAAAATTATATAAAAAAACACTCACGCCTGTCACCCAGAGGGGTAGGCAGAGATTATGGACTTCCATTTGGCACGATCCTGACACACCTCTCTCGCTTCCTCCACATCCATATACCTACGCATACACGCTCGTCGGTTAAAGGTACTCTTGATTTAGCCCATTTTTAATATATCACCAATTTGGTCGATAAACTTTCGCCTAGGGCGACCCTTCCCGACTATGCCGTTCACCAAATCAAAATTAGTCACCCGTTTTCGGGCTTTCAGGTCGTCTGTACGCCAGTATATTCTTAGTCTCTGTTCTCATCACATACTTATTATTAACATGTTTTGAATATAATAACCGGGCAAGTTGCGAGTCGGACTAGCGCATAAAGAGTTACGTACCATATTAAAACACATTTCTATTAGGAGAGCCCCCTTTAATTTTTAATTTATTTAAATTTTTATTATTTTTTGTTATATCGGCGACAGAAATCCACATTATGTGAAAATTTCTACTGTCTACCTATTATGAATCATGAGATACAGCCCGCTGACAGATAGACGAACGGACAGCAGAGGCTTAGTAATAAGGTCCCGTTTTTTGGGTACAGAACCCTAAAAAGTAATGCCTGCGAATGAGCTCGAACTACATACCGTTCGGTTAAAAGCCCAACTACTGTATTTTTATATCTCTTATACACGACCGGAGAATGTATTTTGTGGTTACAAGGAATTCATATTTAGATCCTCAGGTGTGACATATCCCCTGGCGATAGCTCTCCCGACTGGTTTATAATTATGCTATAATTATTTATCACCACGGCGACCACTGCTCGATATACAATAATGTGATAATTTAACTACTAAATTATTTAAGTTTCTATGCAGAAATTGGTAACAGAAGAACTGAGTACACAGCTAATGCTCAGACATTATTGATGTTCAAATATTGTCGATACTCAAGTAAGTACTAAATAAACAGTTTTGCGTCGAGCTTTATAAACAGTGCTGTATTAAGTACATTATCGGCTAAGTTTCTGCGTTACGATTGTTTTGTGAATATAAAATGGAAACATAAATCCATACAATTATTACCTTTATCTTTATTCCTCACCAGCGACCCACCCCTGCCTCGAATGGTCTATCTATATAAATAAAATTTAAGTGTCTGTCTGTAATATCGAAATAACTTTAATTGAGCTGAGAGGGTTATTTGAATATCATTAAGATATGAGTAAACATTTTTAAATTTTTTGTCTGTCAGTCTGTCTGTCTGTCTGGGCTTATCTTCGAAAGGATTGAACCTTGTAACAAAACTTCTCGAATAAATAGAGAGTATTGTGCCAGGAGTGACCTAGACTATATTGTATCCGAAAACTTGGATATTTTTTTTGATAAATCGAAAAATTTATAAAAGTAATGGTATTTGATAATTTGAAATTTAAATAACGCTACACTAACATATCCTTTTGAATCGGAGCTGGGGCGGGTTGCTAATATATTATATAAAGAGCATTTCTTAAGACAATTTTTCGACTACTCATTAAAATATCCCAGTTTGTTATTCGATACCTCCTAAGTATAATGAGTCAACTAACATTATAGTAATTTTATAGGAGAGCGATTTGAAGGCAAATCGTTTATATTTTAATGAAATCAAACTAATTCGAAATATATTAAATGTTTTTTTAATAAAGATCGCAAGCTCTTCCTTTGGTATAAAATGATTTGGCTGATTTTTGTTTTTAAATGTCATTTTATGTACATAGCTGGGTATACGCCAGCGAGTCTCAATAGTATTATGGTTTAACTACCAGTTATATTCATGTACGTTGTACATCAACATACATCAAAATCCATTGCTTACACTAAAATATCATAAATATGATTGTCATTTTATTAATACGAACTTACTTTTGATTTTTTTTCGGGATATTCTGTCTCATTTAATAATAAAACGTTGAAATTACATCACTTGACTCATTATACTAGGAAAGTACTAAGCTATATTACCATTTGAAACTTCGACGTATACTGGACTAATATACTTCAACGAGGCTTTATAATTACTCATTTTGTTTCTAATACTTTACGAAATGTGGGATTAATAAAGGCTAGGAAGAAGAAGAAGAATCATAAACAAAAACAGCGCATTTTAAATAATCACAATGTATTTTTCACTATAATTAAGTAGGAACATGATTTTTGGCCTTACTAAAAGCTACAAGTTGAATAAATCAACAATAACAAATTATCAAAGTTGTATCATTAAAGTTTCATAAAAAACAACAAACAATCAATAAAAAAAAACTAAAACAGGTATACTTCTCTAGTAGGTCAGTATAGATATTAACAACTAAAAATGGTAACTTACGTTAAACAATATTAATAAAGAGAATAGAAATGTATAACATAAATATCTAATAAAGTATAGGCAATTGTAATACTCAAAAATAGCTATAAAGTTTAACAAAAGAAATAAAAATATTAAAGGTTAAAAAATCAGTCTGAATCGCTGTCATCAGCTGCATTAGAATTAGTTGAAATCAAATTATTAAAAAATAAATGATACTCTTTAGGAATTACCAACGTTTTACAAAGATCCATCAAATCTTTGTGCTTATTTTGGTCTATAGGAATGGGTGTCTGATAAGCTAAAGAAATATTATCTATATCAATATTCAATTCTCTTCGATTTCGTGTAGCTTTAAGTTTCTTTACACAATCTATCCACTTGTAAGCATCGTCTTGGTAACTCGTTTTATAAAACACTCTAAATGGATTTTCTGCTTTAACTACTACTTCCGTTACTTTATTCCAAGGCATTTTAGATCCATCATTAGTAGTTGTCCAGTTGTTTATAAGTTTTAGCTTTGATTTGAAGTCTTTTATTAAATCCTGAGACACTTCGATAACTTTGTATGGCTTTTCATCGGATTTGGCAAATCTAAAAGCTGTATACCATTGATCAGGCGTATAAAGTATTTTATCTTTCGTCTGTCTTTCAATTAAAGCGTGCATACTATCGCCTTCATTTTGCGTGTGACCCACTATTAGAAACCGATGCCTGATATCTACACTAAACTTCGAACTAGCTAACATATACATTAGGAACACAATTCTGTTTCTATTTTGGCCTCCACAGTTGTCTGACCAGAACCGGTAATCTTTGACTCCTTCACCCACCGTATCCTCTATAAACTTAAAAACACAGCTGGAAATTTCATTTGCACCTCTCTTTGCTGTCTGTTGATGCCATGAAAAACAATAACCTTGGTGAGATCCCAGATTGAATATCGTGAAATTATACAAGGAAAGTTTCCGTTTATAATAAAAAGTACTTACGTTCCCGTGGGGTACATTAAGGCACTTTTGAAGATCAAATGCTGCTGTAAGAATTTCATTATTTTGTAATGCTAATTCTTTATCTTTTGTTTTAATTTTTCTTGCTTTCTCTTTTTCTTTCAAATGCTCTTCATGCTTCTCTTTATCTGTCTGTGTAACTTGCTTGTTATTTTCGTAAATGTGGCATTGTTCACAAACATCTTTTTTGGGTTTATGAAAACCTATATTGATATTTTTATTAATGATATCTCGGTATTGTCTCACGGTAGTCGCTTTAGAAGAGTATTTATTAGAATCAAACCATTCATTATATAACTTAAACATTTTTGGGAAGGATAAAGAGCTCTCAAGATATTTTCTACTCGATTTTTGGCGAGTGTAATGTGATTGTACAGGAGAAAATGCTTCAACGTGGTCTATAACACTGCGAACCATATCTTCATTAATAATCTTTGGATGATTAATATGCCTTCCACGCTGATCTGCTTCAACAAATCCATTTCCTTTATCGGACTTTTCTAAAGCTGTATAAACAAAATTAAAACTAATAGAAAGGGTTCTTAGGAACATAGTTTTGCAAACCGATATTTTTGTAGACTCAATATTATCTCCTTGACTGCTTGGAAGGTAATAAGAAATAGTGTGAAGACGTTTTGAATTTTCTTTATCCACAGTAAATCTTTTTTTGTCAGATCTTACAGCATATCTTGCCAAAAAATCCCATTGTCTTGAGTGGTCTCCAATACTCCAAAACATATCAAAAATTCTTTGCCGAATATCTTCTGCTAATTTCTCACTGCATTTTTTCCGACAAGTTACGGGGCAAGAAGTTTTCATAGTTCTCTTACTATGTACTCTTCCGTTTCTACTGACATATTCCAAACCTCTATTAACATTATATTTTCTCTCCTGATCCTTCCATTTTTTATGAAAACGTTCTCTTAGCCTTCCTTTATCTTTCTTAGCAATGGAAGTCCGCTTACGACGTTTGGCGTTATTGGACGGTGAGTATGTGATATCATTAATATCAGATGCAGGGGAGGCGACCGCAGGACTATCATTTAACTCTAAATTAACAGGTGATGGGGCAAAAGAATTATAAGGCGATGGTACTGGAGTAATATTACAATAATTTTCAATAATGCTATTCTGGATGGGCGAATTCCCTGGAGTGTTTTCTATGACTGACGGCGATCGATCTCCTATTTGAGTTCTACTATCACTATTCGGTACACAAGGCGAGGAGCAAGGAATATCATCCGGAAATAATATGGAAGCGTTAGAAGGGATATTTTGCAATACATCCTTGCTATCATTTAAATCAACATCATCAAGTATTGATAGCTCCTCCTCCGTAAAATTTGCATCAGGTGGCAGTGGAGACTCTAAAACAATAATAATTAAAATTAAAATACAAGAATTCATATTTTTGTATTAAACATGCCAATTACAATTAATAAAACATATAACATATTAAAAAAAAATATTATAACACAATTAACACAAAAATATCAAAAATTGAATAAGTATATTATTATAAACATATGAGTCAAGTGTCTTCTTTATAAAATTTGTTCGCCGTATACTGGTGTAACAGCAGTTGTATGAGTATACGGCGTACTAAGCGACGTGAACAACAATTATCAAAGAAAAGCAACAAAATCACACTTATACACATAAAGATAACTTACCATCTCTATCCCTGTTTTGCATTATATTATCATCGATTCTTGTGTTATTGTTTATTGTATCATTCAGTCATTGAGTAAATTTAAAATTTTTTGCGCCCTGTTTGACTGCATTATGTTTCTTATATTAATTAAAATATAAAACAATATAAGACAAATACATCCACATTTATTTTATTCACTAATTTTACGAAACAAAAATATTAACTAAAATTGCGTGTGCACTCGCCGCCGTTCATCGAATACTGAGCCACAATAAACTTATATCAATGCGTACCCCCTCACGCCCCGCGTACATTGGTACAATGTTATTTGGATCAGTATACAATGTACGATTTTAACTGATGTTGAAATTGATTTAGTATACGTGAAATTATCTCCGTAATTATCGTTCTTTTTTAATTTTTTTTAGCACTAACATTAAGATCATGGTTTATTATGTAAGTTTATATAAAAATAATGAAAAACCTAAATTTTTTAGATGACTCAGTATACTTAGGAGGTATCGATTTGTCTGTTCGTGAACTTTCACTACAATCAGTTCAGCCATTCCAAAACTTTAGCCCATACAGACCGACAGACAATGGTCATGTAAGACATGGTATTTATCTGTACCCACGAATTATTCTTTAAATAGATAAATCACGAACAAAGATGGCGGATCAAAATATAGCGTGAGATCTTATAAAGAATCATATTTTTTGTTTTTTCTTTCGCACTTTGGGAAATTATGATAGGCATCCACTTATATGGAATAATTAATCCCGCTAATTTTGTTCTTCACGACCAATTTTTATGACTTGAAAATACATTTTCTACATTGTACTTGTCGCTTTGTAATGTTTTCATAATATCATAGAACATGCATTTTCTACCAATTTGTCGCGGAAAAGATTTTTTTTTTTGTTTAAACGCGCTAATTTCTGGCATTACCTGTCCGAGTTGAAAAATTAGTTTTCTATATTATAGCCAAATTCATGAAAAATAGTAAAATCTATCTAACACTGGCTATCGAGTTGTATTCAATTCCGTAAGGAAGTACTGCAAGGAAGAAAACTTCTTCTAAATCACACAGTAGTGGACCGGCAATAATACAGATGATACGGGTGGTTTTTCGAGTTCTGTTGCGATGAACGATGGTAAAATTGAGTGGCTGGAATCAGTCCGAACGATTACTCTGAAGACTCCCAGTGGTAGATACAAAAGCAAGCGGTGTGCTGGCATAAAATACTGACCTGCTCTGCTGAACACGCCAAGTTTTTTAGAGACCAATTTGGCCTTCTCTTAAAAATGGCCACAAAACTGCACGTCATACGATATGTCGATGCCGAGGATTTCGAAACTGGCTGATGCAATAAAAGGAGTCCCCTTAAAGCAAGTAGACACGACAAAGGATTTTTTAGCGGTAAACGCTTAAACTTGCGTCTCCTGTGGATTGAACTGGACTAGGTTTAGTCGCCCCCAATCTGTTGAACTTCCTTTGTTGAACAAAGTGTCGACGTCAGACACAAGTTTATTCCGGTACTTGGGGACGTTTTCCTGTAGTTCGCGTAGCAATGAATGTTAATTTAAGTTAAGTTGTAATCGGAGCATGCACCGCCTACTACGACCTTGATGCTCCGATCCGATGCCAGAAAACTGGTGATCCAATACCACAATTTCCCAGGAAGCCCATAGGAAGGACCTTTGAAAGAAGCGCTTTGTGCTAAGCCCTATCGAAGGTCTTCACTATGTTCAAACTATCCGCCAAAGTCCCCTCCTGGACGTGATCGCTTGCGCCCATCTGTGTGTTAGGTAAACAAGAAGATCACCAGCTGAGCGAACCCGACGGAAACCGTACTGGTGGTCACTAATCAGCTGGTGCTCCTCAAGGTACAGCATGAGCTGCCAGTAAATAGTAGCCTCCATTATTTTCTAGAATAAGTATGTGATGGCGATGGGCCTGTAGTTAAACCGATCAGAGCAGTTACCCTTTTTAGGTATCAGTGCACGAAAGCTGTCTTCCATGAATTCGAGACAATGCCTAGGGACTAGGAGTACTGGAAAATAAGCATTCGAACTGGTGCCAACTAGAAATAGAAGCTAGAACTAAATATTGGTAAATCCAATAGTTCATGCCTTAAGCGTATTAAAAAATTACTTATAACATGATTATACGCAATTTTTAAAGTAGTTAATTACACACAAGCTTTCACTAAAACATTATAATTATTACTATACTTACAAATATTCCGATCACTTTACGTCAAATTTCAATTTAAAAAAAGGCTGGGAATATTCAAAAATTCACGACTCATCATGCTCATGTGATCGTGAAAAAATTAAAAAATATGTAAATTGTAGTTCTATTCGTCAAATAGTTCCAGTAGTAGTTACCGAATTATACTTTCAAGTCACTCTATCAAGTCCTGAGGTAAGGTCTCATCATAACTAACAAAACGAAGCCAAACTCGGCACATCTAGTTTTCCTCGTCGAGGAGTTCCAGTGGCAGTCTTCAAAATACACTTTCAAGTCACTTTATCAAGTCCGGGGGTAAGGTCTCATCGTAACTAACAAAACGAGCCCAAACTCGGCACATCTAGTTCTCTTCGTCGAGGAGTTCCAGTAGTAGATTCCGAAGTACATTTTCAGGTCTATAAAGTCCAAGACGTTTAAGTATATTTATATATAAATCCTGCGTACTTTTAGGGAAACCAAATACTGTAATAAAAATCTGTGATTATAAAAGTAATAATAATATCGTACCTTGGCCAAGTATGTATCAAATTTGGTTTTTGGAATATTTTGTATTCCGCGATCGAAATTTTTAGCACGAGTCGCTGTAACAAACAACCACTCACGACGGCATTTGAGCCGTGAAACCAATGAAAATTTCGCCATTTTACAGCCGAAAAAAAATAAATATATCTAAACAAAACAAAATTGAACTGCTATTTACATATCATGGCTTTCCACATGATAGGTGAAGAGATTAAGAAATATATTGAGTTAAACAATTGATATTTTCAAAAGTTATGGTGTTTACAAGCCTTGCGGACTTGATAAATCTACACCATAAGCCACTAAAACCCCTATTTTATGTAAAATTGCAATTAATCGATTTAAAAAAAATATTTATAATTTCAACAATCATTTATCTTTATAACAATGTACTTTTTATATAATTTATATGTATAATATGATTGCTAGGTACGATTTCAAGTGAAAAAACGTTGGAATCTTAATTTTTAGGCCCTAGAAGAACATACCTGCGCGCTTTGCGCTTACGGCATGCAATAGAACTAAAAATTATAAAATAATTTTAAGACAATAGATTCTGAAGCCAGGGATTTCATTTTTTTATTAATTCCAAAATCTGTGCACTTTCCCCATAGATTGCCCCATTGGGGGAAAATTTTCCGTATTTACCACAGTTAGCAAGCAAGTTATTAAACGCAATTTTTATCGAGGTTTTATCATGAAGATGACCATCATATTCTGTTTCACTGCTCCCTGTCGCCTCTTACGATACGCTCGAAATGATTATTGGTAGAGGGTTCTCTAACACTGCTTCTACAAACATACAAATCCCTTTTCAAAGATTGTGGGTCACAAATCCAATTTGCCAGTAGTCATCACATTCTAGTCTAGTCTGGTAGTCACAGAGCAGTATAACGCTACAATTTTATGATAATAAATGCCATATGTATATTTAAACATTTTAAAAGATAATAAAGAGCAACTGAACTTGGTATACCATCGATACCAAACGTGGTAAAACCATGCTGCATCTATATTAGTAGTACCGTTGTCGCACGAATGGGTCGGCTCGACCAGGTAAGGAACTCGCTTTCACAGAATACCTGCGTAAAATAGCGGCTTAACGCTGCTGTGTTTCATAGAGAACCGGAGACCCTTTTTACTGGAACCGAGGCATTCCATTTTAGTCCTCACGGGTGACGACGCAAGTGCATTTTTATTTGTAATCGAGGATAGCTGTAGGTGTCTAAGGGCTACAACAACCACTTACCATCAGATGGACTGTATGCTCGTTTGTCACCTTTATCCTATTAAAAAATATTTGATTTAACATATTTCCAAAATGAGCTGTTTAAAATTTACCCTAAATGCAGTCTTACCTGAGAATGAAACATACCAGGAGATGACCA